CTTACTTTAGACCAGTGGTTCTCAATCTTGGCTGCACATTAGAATCACCTGGGAATCTTTTTAAAATCCTGATTTCTGGGCCTCATCCTCTGGAAATTCTGTTTCTTTGTTACTAATGTTGTGGCCCCACCCCATAACAAAGAAACAGAATTTCCGGAGGATGAGGCCCAGAAATCAGGATTTTAAAAAGATTCCCAGGTGATTCTAATGTGCAGCCAAGGTTGAGCACCGCTGGTCTAGTGAGTATCAAAAACTTCCCACTGAAAGGAACCAAGCCTTGAGCACAAATACTAAAATGGGAACGATACAGAGAAGATTAGCATGGAGTCTCACAGGACTGGGCAGAGAAGAAAGGAAACCAGTCACAAAACAGAATATATGACACTACACAGCCCACATCTTAGACCAGTAGGTGTCAAGTGGCTGTAGCTTCCCATAAAGGGGGGGCCCTGGTCCTAAGGGAACACAAGCCCAGCCCTGTCCCCGGCAGAAACCTCACATTGCAGCTCTTTCAGGAGAGCCCCTGAGGTTCTCCTGCCAGTCGTTTGGTACCTGCTGTGCCCACAGCCTTCTGTTTCTTGGCATCCGGTACACACCTCGACTATGGCATTTATCACATTAAATAAATGAGTCTGAAACCAAGAGCCACCCTCAAGACACAGGCGCAAGAAACACGATCCCTAGTTGATGTGCGCGCCAATGGAGGCAGGATGTGAGGAAAACATAAATACGGGAACTGTCTCCTTCACTGTTTACTAAACGTTGCTGCAAATCCCAGGTCCACGCCCAGACTCCACTGGGTGAGCAGCCAGCGATCAGAGGAGAGCGGCGCCCGCTGCAGGGGTGCAGGGGCAGGGCCTCAGTCATGACCAAGGAAAGCGACCACAGCCAGTCACCACCTGCGCAGTCGGAGGAAGGGACAAGCAGAAAGTCACAGGGCGCTGGCCCACTGCCGGCAGCACCAAAACCTGCCCACATGTTCTGAAGGACAAGTAGCAAAGGGTCTAGAGCAGCGGTTCTCAACCTTCCTAATGCCGCGACCCTTTAATACAGTTCCTCCTGTTGTGGTGACCCCCAACCATAAAATTATTTTCGTTGCTACTTCATAACTGTAATGTTGCTACTGTTATGAATCGTAATGTAAATATCTGATATACAGGATGGTCTTAGGCAACCCCTGTGAAAGGGTCGTTCGACCACCAAAGGGGTCGCGACCCACAGGTTGAGAACCGCTGGTCTAGAGCGTATCAAACACTTCCCACCAGGTGGAACCAAGCCTCGGGCTCACTCCCGCAGCACAGACTAAAATTGGAGCGATACAGAGAGGATCAGCATGGCCCTTGCTCAAGGATGACATGCAAATTCATGAAACATTCTGTTTTTAGTAAATGAGTAAATATGACGAAGTACAATTAAAAAAAAACCTGGGGGGGGGGGGGGGGGGGGCGAGCGGGCTGGAAGAGGCTAATGGAGAGAAAAAGGAGGACCGATGTGATACTGTCAACAATAAAGATTAAAAGAAAACAAACAAAACCATTCCATGGAGAAATGGCAGGTTCCTTTTTAAAAAAATATATTATTCTGAGTGCTTTATTTGCTCCCCAAATTACTAACCTCTGTGGAGATAAAGATTACCAAAACGAGCGAATTTACTAAATACTTATTGACAGCAAGAGTGAGTCACCACTGCTGCCTGCACCTGCAGACTCAGTCGAAGGCAGGAGTGAAAGCTTTTCATGGCCAAAGGTGTCCGTCCTAATGGGAGGCTGGTTACAAAGGTGTCCGTCCTAATGGGAGGCTGGTTACAAAGGTGTCCGTCCTAATGGGAGGCTGGTTAGTGTGGGGAAGCTGCAGGTGGTCTGACTAGAAGAGGGGCTGAGGCAGGGAAAGAACGAGGAAAGATGAGCCTGAACACGTGCCTCTACCTGCGGTTCTCAACCTGTGGGTCGCGACCCCTTTGGCAGTCGAACGACCCTTTCACGGGGGTCGCCTAAGACCATCCTGCAGATCAGATATTTACATTACGACTCATAACAGTAGCAACATTACAGTTATGAAGTAGCAACGAAAATCATTTTATGGTTGGGTCACAACATGAGGAACTGTATTTAAAGGGCCAGAAGGTTGAGAACCACTGCTACCAGGAAGCAAGGAAGTGCTCAAAGAATGATGGGACTTATCAACAAGACTCAGGAGCCAGGCTGAAGTCCTCCCACTGGCCAAATGCGGCACGATTTGAGCATTAAAAGAATGATGAGCTATGTATTTTGGGTTTGTGAGCATATGCATCTTACACCTCAGCTAGTGGCCCGTGCATGAGTTCGTACATATTGAAAGGAAATTAATTAGAAGAAATATTTTAATATCGCTATTCGCCCTTTCTCAATAATATAAGTGTCAACCAAATTCATGATCGACAGTGACATGGAAACACCAGTGCGATAGGTGCCACCAAGAGCTTTATATGTATCGTGCATGCACGAGCCAACTTAGCCTTTTATAGATATAGTACTTGCTTAGTTAGACCTGCTTTCTGATTTAGCTAAACTTTTTCCAGTGAAGCACCCCAACTTCTCTTTCAGGTAATTGTCAGCAACACAGCAGTAAATATCAACACAAAGTAGATTATTATTATAGATCACGCAGGGAGAACGAAGGGTAAAATATTTAACTGCAGCCGTGTTTGACTAAATTCTGCACAGTGAGAAAACCTGAAGTCATTTTCACACTAAGTCTTCCCCACACTATTTCTTCTTTTCAGTCGGGTCAAGTTTCTAAGCTTTCTAAATCGCCGTTTCCCGGCTAATGAAAAGAAAATAGGATTCCACCAAGTCTCCTATCTACCTACTCCAGGACTTCTGTGAGGATCAAATGAGATGAGGCACGGGAAAACGCTTCACAGACATTTGATTACACTGTAAAGTGTTTCCACCTGGCTATAAAGCAAGTCGTGTTCCTGGGCTGAAGAAATTGCAAGGAGGCTAGTCATCGCTAGGGAGAGGAAGCCAGGTGTTGCTACTTGATGTCATTACCCAGACGGAGTGAAGGAGGACACTTCGCATATTAGCGTTTTATGTAGATTATATAGATAGATAAAAATGTTTACAAAGATAACCACCCAAACAGGGCGGATGTAATCCTGATCCTACTCGAACTCCTCTGGAAAACCAAAGAGAACACTTCCCAGCTCACCCTATGAAGTCAGTATCACCCTGACACCCAAACCAGACATCACAAGAAAACTACAGAGTGATGTCCCTCATGAACACAAAGACAAAAATCTTTGAGATTTTAGCAAATCAAATCCAACGTAGACCAAAAGGACAATACATCATGATCAAGGAGGATCTATTCCAGGAATACAGTTTATCCCAGGAATTAAAAACAACAACAATGTAATTCACCATAGTAACCAAAAAGCTATTGATCATCTCAACAGATGCGTAAAAAAGATTTGATAAAACCATCACAGAAACACACTAATTCTGGGGCAGACGTATGTCGCCTGTCTCCACAGGGAAGGGACCTGTATTACCAGAGGAATTTTTGCCA